TGAAAACCTCAAAGTTTTTTTCATCATTTAAATTTCCTTTAAAATAGAGGAAGCTTTTTGGAGTGGTAAAAGTAAAGCTGGGCGGGGAGCCAGGGAACGTAGCTTCTACCGCCAGCTCTGCCAGAACCTTGCACAAAGAACCCACCACAGACAGCCTCAGCGTCCCCAGTGTAACAAGGGGTCTGGAGAAGGTAACAATCAAGGTCACTCCTTGCTCTCAATGTTTCTGCAGCTTTTACTTAGGCCAGATTGTAGTAGAAAAACCTGGTAGCGGTGGTCAGTATTGAAATGTGGACATAATCTTAACTGCTACTGAAACTACCTTACGGCCCATCAGGAACTGGAGGGAGAAAAGTAAGAAGGAAAGACCTGCTTTCCTGACAGGAGACAAGCTGGGCACGATCACCAGGGCGCCCCCTGCTGCTTGAGCCGAGTCACCGCTGACGGGGCAGCCCTTCTCTGTGTCTCATGCTCTGAAGACAGAACCCTCGGTGGTGGGTCAGTGTCTCCTGCACATTTTCCAACCCAAAGTTCAAGTTCAGGAATCAGGACTGAATTCACCTGGAAGCTGTTCAGCTAGTGCCATCCGGAGGCCAAATACTGTCCTTCTTGATATGCAGCGCGAGCAAAAGGAAAAAAGGGAGGGGAAATGTTTACTTATAGATGTATGTTAGACATGTTAAACACATGTATATTGTACATGCACATGTGTTTATGTGTGCATACATATATGTGAAGTGTATGTGTATATATATGCATATACCTATACGTATGTATGTGTCTCTATGGATATATTATAGCTTGGGGTGGACATCACACTTAATTCGCCATGGAGAATAACTCCATTACGCTGTCCATTTTGTATTTAAGTAGGAAGGAGTTGGTCCACCAGTAACTGCTTGAGTAAAAGCAATGATCAGAGGCGAGGAAATTGATTCTCCCCTTGATCCCAGAGTGGTGAACCCCATCTGTCTGTGCCATCTGTCCTCTGAGAGTGGCTCTTCTCACCTAGAAATAAGTGAAGGACTTTGCTCCACTTTGGGAGGCCTAGGAAGGGGAGGTGTTAGATGGAAGGGTGCCTAGTGTGATAAGCCAGCTTCTCCCAGCTGCTGGCCCAGGAAACGGTTTGGGTAGGGCAAGAGGAGAGAATCCGTGTTTTCATAGGAGCCAGTTAACTCAGCTAATTCTACCACAATGTTAAGAAAGCCCAGGTTCCCTGTACGAAACAAACAAACAAAAAACTAACAACAACCAAAACCTCTGGGCTCTAAACAGCTCCTGGCGTTCAGATAAATAATTGTTACTGAATCCACGGTTATCGCCTGCACCTTTCACCCCCGGAATCTGGGGAACTGCACGCATTTTTAAAGGCACACTGCCCTCCAGTGGCGCAAGGTAAAATTGCTCCATGACCAGCTTCCCAAGCGCCAAACTTCAACTTGACCTATCCTGGGGCCCCGGAAAGGCGCGTTGATGCCACGCCAGCGTTGGGTGATCACCAGTCCCGAAACGTGACTAATGTATGGGAGCGTGAGATCAAAGAGGAGGTGACCTAGTTGGAAACCGCGGCTCCCTCGCTCGTTTGTGCCTGTGGGACCCCTGGGGCAGAGATTCGCGCTTTTTGTCTCTTAGGGTCGTAATTCTGGTTAAGAGTATGATTGGGTGGAAATTAGCGTATGAAGTGATGCTTCCAAGAGACGTACAGAACACTTGCTACATAACACCAGCCCAGGCGTGCAGGGGAATCGAGAGAGGCGGCCTGCACCCTGCGAGGGCTGGCAGGTGGTAAGGACGCAGTCTGGGTGCTGCTACCTGTCTGTCACCCTGTGGGTTCACCCTGCGTGAATACATATGCAAATAGCCGCCAACTCGCAGGGATTACCTTATGCAATCTTCCCAATCACTCCCTTTAATGAGTGCTATTATCATCCCACTTTGAGGATGAGGAAACTGAGGCTCAGCGAGGCGATGAGGCCTGCCCGTGACCGCCCGGGGGTCCAGGTCTGTCTGGACCAGAGCTGGAGCTCCCAGTGCCAGGCTCGGAGCAGAGCGGTGGGGCCGGGGCAGGACGGGTGGAGACCCGCGGCCGCGTGCGTGCCCAGTGAGGGGACGAGCGCAAGAGGGTGATGGGCGTGGGGACGGCTCACCTTGACGATGAGAGGGTTCTGAAACATGGAATCTCGCACGACCCCCAGCCTCTCGTTCTCCATGCCCGGTTGGATGTCGGCCACGGTCAGGGGCCGCCGCGGGGGCGGGCAGATCTGGCTGACCGTGCGGCGCACCGGCGGCTTCTTCTTCCATCGCGTGAGGTCGTGGCAGGAGGTCCTGGCTTCTGGCATCCTGGGGGTCACGGGGAGTCGGCCAGCCGGCTGGATCCAGCGCGCTTCTCAGGTGGGGGGCCGGTGCGGAACTCGGAGGGGCCCTCTGCCAGTCCCGGGACGCACCACCCGGACGTCGGGGTGGACACCGGACGCCGAGCTCCCTCCGGAGCGAGGCGCCCCCACCTCGCGCAGCCCCCTCGTTGCAAGGAGCACTAAGACCTACATAAGCCCCTCTGGTTCCTGAGAGCGTCTTCTGGGCGCCGCGCTGCGGATTCGAAAAGGAGAGAAAATCAAGACCACCCCTTGAGGAAGAATGGAACCGTCCGTTTCCATGGCGGCAGGATGCCAACGGCACTGGAACGGGGCTGGTCGATTTACTTTCAGGAAACTTTGGCGGCCACCTAAGTGGACGTGTTTCGAGTTTCCTTAAGTAGACCGGAGAAAAACCCAAGGATCACCACTGGGCTGTGTTAAAAGCGACGGAGTTCTAGAAGGCCATTTACACTTGACTTCCAGGTCAAAGACACACCCCACCCCCCACTCACCACGACCCCTCTCGCCGCCCCTTCCCACTTCTCCCAACCACACACACACACACACACACACACACACACACACACACACACACACAGCCCGGGGCAGAGCGTTACGTGTTTCAGAATGAAATAGAAATCCGCATTCCAAGCCTGATGTTACTAATCCACTGGGTGATCTCAAATTAGTCACCTTTTGGGTCCTCAGTGTTTTCTTCTGTGAAGTGGGTGGGGGGAAAGTCTAGAGTTGAATGAAATCAATGGTACCCAACTTTGTGCAACAGAATAAAGGGAAGTTGAAAAATACAGATTCACTGAATCAGAATATCTGGAAATGGGATCTGAGAATCTGTATTTTAATCCTTCTTCCCCTTTGGATTCTTTTTTCAGTTCAAAGCTATGGAAACTTTGAAAGAAGAGTACAATGAAAACCCATATAGACTTCACCTAGATTGACTGGTCCTTAGTATTTGCCACATTTACTTTCTGTGTGTGTGTGTGTGAACATGCACACACACACATTGCTAAACCATTTTGAAAAGATCTGCAGACAGTATCATATCTGACCCTAAATACATGTTATCTGCCAAGAACAAGGACATTCTCATACAGAACTACAATGCTGTTATGTCTATGGATTTTAATGTGATACAGTAATGGTGCCTGATATGCAGTCTGTAGGCAAAGTTGGAAATCTGCACGTTTTAAGAGCTTCCCAAGTGATTGGTGCAGTGTTTTGGGAACCACTAGCCTGGACGATCCCTAGTCTGCCTTCTAGTCCCAGCCTTTAGTGCGGTCATCCACCCATTATTATCATCGTCATTAAATGTGCAAACATCCACAAGGCTCTGGGTAAGGGGTTCACCACAGAGAAGGTGCACAGACAACACACCTGCACTTCAAGGCCTTGCACAGCAACAGTGGACAACACCAGCATTACCTTTCCAGAGCAAATCACACAGACTCCCAACTGTCCATCCAAGGCCCGAAGCGGCCCTTGGGTGGTGACAGGTGTATGATGTACGCTTTATGGTTTCCCTAGTCGGCTTCACTTTCAGACTTTCACAGAAATGCGCGCTGTGCACTTTTTAATTAAAGCTGCTTGGCAGCTCACACAGAGGAAGTGAGGTGGTGCAGCAAGGCGCAGGGCACTGGAGTAGTGGAAAGATCACAGGTTTGAATCCTAGCTGGGGCCACATAAGTTCCCCTGTGACAAGTTACATGAGGCCCTAGTTTTCTCATCCACAAAGTAAGGCTGATATTACCTAAGAAAGATTTCCTACAACAGGGGGTTATTACAGGATTCCATGAGAAATCTCTTTGCTGGCGTGATTGTGTTCACGATGCAGTAAGACTAAAAGTTTGAGCGGCATGTATACTGGCCTCGACTTGATGGCCTGCTTAAAGCTTTACTTTTAATCATAAGCTAAGTTTCTTCAGGACTCAGTGGAAATGGGAGAATCGGAATAGATCTTCAAGGCTTCTTCTACCTCTAACCTCCACCTGAGTTCAATGTGCATTAGACTCCGCACCACTGAGCCCCTGCCAACCCCTGACTTCACCCCTTACCTCTGTCCCCGTCACTCACGGTGCTCCCGCTACCCTGGCGGGAGTTTCAGTTCCTCCAGCAACCAAGTTCACGGCCTCTGGATTTGCTCCCAGCCTGGAACACTCTTCCATCGATTTTTGTTCACCCATTTCATTTAGAACTCAACTGTCACTCGTCAAAGAGCCTTCCTTACTATCTAACCTAGCTCTCAGTGTCCCTAGTCGCTCCCCATCACATTACCCTGATCTATTTTCCTTAAAGGATAATCTGAAATTATCTTGGTTGATTAGTTTGTTTTCTGTCTTCCTCAGGTTAGCCCTCAGCATCTTGTTCACTCCTGGACTGCAGACGGACCTCAGGAAAAAAAACTGTTGAATAAATGGCATGAATGAGCAAGTCGGCGGAAGGGCTCTGTCCCACTATCTTAGTTTTAGGATCACGCTCTACCCTGTCCCACCCGACTCGCAACAAGCCCGGGAACAAACTGGGCAGAAAACGGCGCGAGTCACAGCCCCACAGCCAGCGAGCGCCTACGGCAGCGCGATGCCGGAGGGGGGCGGGACGGAAGTGACGCAAGCCACTTCCGCTTTCACGACACCAGCACTTCCGGAGTGGGAGGCAGGCCGCGACGCGTTCGGAAGGTAGGTGAAAGGGCTTTACAGTTGCTCCGGCTTTTTTCCCACTTTGCGTGTCTGAACCGAGCGGTGTGTGGCTGCCGTCTTCACCTCCCCGGAGGCCCGCCTTTGGCCCAGGTCCCCAGGGGTGAGGGTGGCGCCTGTTTTCTCCGCAGCCTCTCCAGGCCCCTCCACTCGGGAACCTCTCGTTCGTTCCTCCCTCTCAGCCCCGGAACGCCCACCCCGGGGCAGAGCAGGGTCTCCAGGGCACCCCAAAGTGGGGAGGGGATCGGGACCAGGCTTGGGCACGTCCCTGCACGGCGGGAAGTGGTATGTTCCGAATAAGTGTATATCCATATATATCGAACGCCGGGTAACCATTTGGGAACCAGACGGACGAGGAGATCCCAGCCCTTAGGAGGCCGGTTATGTCCCAACGGAGCGAAGTGCAGTAGGGAAGCAGCTGGACTGTTGAGAAACGTTGTAACGAGAAGGCGGGACCCAGAAGAGAAAGTGAGTTTCAAACTTAGACCAGTTATAGCGCAGAAAGGTAACGTAGGAAAGGCATTCCTGGGAAAATGAGATGCTTTTGTAAAGTCCCTGATAACGAGAAGGATCATGGTGTATTCTGGGAACGGAAAGAAGACAGGATGTCTGAAACCCAGGGAGAAATGAGAGGTGGAAGGGTAGGCATGGACTAGACTAGATCATGAAGGGCATGGTAGGTCTGTAAGGATTTGGGACTTTATCTTAAGAATAACGGAGGGACTTCCCTGGTGGTGCAGTGGTTAAGAATCCACCTGCCGCTGTAGGGATACGGGTTCGAGCCCTGGCCCAGGAAGATCCCACATGACTCAGAGCAGCTAAGCCTGTGCACCACAACTACTGAAGCCCGCGCACCTAGAGCCCGTGCTCTGCAACAAGAGAAACCACGGCAATGAGAAGCCTGCTCACCGCAACAAAGAGTAGCCCCCGCTCGCGGCAACTAGAGAAAGCCCACGCGCAGCAACGAAGACCCAACACAGCCAAAAATAAATAAAATAAAATAAACAAATTTATAAAGAATAATGGAGAAGCCATAAGAAGGTTTTAGTGGGAAGTGACTATATATTTAAAACGTGGTGCTGAGTTCAAGAGACCAGAAGGAGAAGCATACAGGTATTTACAAAAAGAAAGAAAGAAACTAATGGAAGGTAAAAATATTGAAAGGAATTATCTGCTCTGTTCATTGTTATTGAGAGATCCTGAGGGAATTCCCTGGTGGTCCATTGGTTAGGACTCAGTGCTTCCACTGCAGGGGGCACGGGTTCGATCCCTGGTCGGGGAACTAAGATTTCCACCAAGCCACGCGGTGCAGCCAAGGAGAGAGAGAGCGAGATCCTGAAAGATGGGCCAGGAAAGTATCTCTTGAATTTAGTGGCTCGAAGGTCATAGGCACTCTAACTGGAGCAGTCTCGGGGGGAGTCATGGAGGTGGAAGCTGCAAAGAAGTGGGTTAAGAAGGGGCTTCTGTGCATCTCTGGGTGACACCAGGGAGGAAGGCCTTCACCAAAGCTCTTGGTGGCTCCGTTGGAGGTGAGATCCTGGGGCTGGTAGATTTGGCTTATAGGTATCAGTCCATATGTTTGTTATTCCCCATCCTTCCAGCTAGACAATTCTTATAGCTTCTTGACTACCTAGGAGAAAGTAGGCACCTTCTGTAGAAAATGTGCTTAAGCATTCAGACTTGAAAGACCACTGACACAGAGAGGTCTCCAGGATCTGTTGTTAAGTGAAAATAGCAAAATGCAGATCAGAATATACAGATGCTACCTTCTCTGTGAGAAAGGAGGGGAAAGGAGGACGGATTATTTTGATGTTTGAACCATGTAAACGTATTACCTTTAGTATTACTTTTAGTCGCAGAGAAATAAAATCTTAAAAATTGAAACCCAGAAGCAATACGGAGCAAGGAGAGTTGTAAGATGTGTTTGTAAAATTACATTTTTAACCATGTCTTTTGTGAAGTACATTTCCATTCCTGTACTTAAACTCCAGAATGCACGTGCTCTGTATAAGAATTGACATTGGAGCCTTATTAAACTTCATTCCTACTTATTGCAGAACCTGGACTTTTTGTTGGACACTAACAAGGCCCATTCAGCCTCTTTCTCAAAGAGGCGATCTTCTAGTTTGAGGTCAGTGGGTACTTGATGTCCCCGCTCTGAACCACAGCTGGGCTAAATGCTACAAAAGAGAAATAGTTTGCTATGAAAGTATATCATTTGGGGAATGGGCCAAGCTCAAGGGGTCCGGAAAGGTTTCTTTCTTTTCTCTCTCTCTCTCTCTTTTTTTTTTTTGGTAAATACTTAAAACAGTACGTTTACATCCTTCAGTTGTTTGTTTTAACACTTGTGGTTTTTTAAAATAAATTTATTTATTTATGACTGTGTTGGGTCTTCATTGCTGCACGCAGGCTTTCTCTAGTTGCAGCGAGCGGGGGTTACTCTTTGTTGCAGAGCACGGGCTCTAAAGCAGAGGCTCAGTAGTTGTGGCGCACGGGCTTAGTTGCTCTGTGGCTTGTGGGATCTTCCTGGACTAGGGCTCGAACCCGTGTCCCCTGCACTGGCAGGTGGATTCTTAACCACTGCGCCACCAGAGAAGCCCTTAATGCTTGTTTTTAAGTGAAAGCAGTCTGCATTCTTGTTTTGCCCCTTGCTTTTTAAAAAGTGAACTATTTCAGTTCACTTTAAAAGAGTAGACAAAAATATAACAAATACCCCTGTACTCATTACTCCAGTTAAGAAATAAAAGATTACAGATGTAAGAGAAACTGGCTCTCTACTTGTCCCTAATCCCTGAATTTACCAGTTATAATCCCCATGCTGTATTCATAGTTTTACTGCATATGTATCCATTCAGAAAAGATACATGAAACTTTTTTTGTGTTTTAAATGTAATATACATGGCATCATAATGTATATATTCTCTTAACGTAATATACACAGCATCATAACATTTATATTCTCTTAACGTAGTATGCATGGTATCATAATGTTTATATTCTTTTAAAGCTTTCTGGAAGAAGCAATGTTCAAGCCAAGCTCTGAAGGATGAAAGGCGGCAGGGAGGGGTAGGAGACAGCGGAGAGCAGCCCAGAGAGAGGGAGTCGTGATTTATAAGACCTCAAGCCAGGGAAAGGATTGGAGCATGTTTGGGGAACCAAAAAAAAAAAAAAAAAGGCATGTGTAGCACAGAGTTTGAGAGGAGAGGTAGAAGATGAGGCCGTGGGGGAACAAGGGCCCGATCATAGCCGAGCACTGTTCTCAATTAACTATTTTTTTTTCCATATCATAAAGGCAGTGGAACCAGACAAGTGAATTACAGTGAGCTTGCTACGCATTTAGAATAATAGAAAATTTATAATCATGACTCCAGCCTTGTCATTTGTTCTGCAATTTCGTTTTTGTGTGATTTTTTTTTTTTCCTCCCGAGGCTAATGTTTAAAATGCTCTGCAAAAATAAACCATGTGGTTCCGTTTCCCTATAGGAGTAAAATGGAAGGAGAATCAAGCAGATTGGAAACCCACACTCCAGTTTTCGTCAAGAAAAAGACTAAGCATTCTGTACATAAGAAGAGACATGGGAGGCATCCCCATGAAAGTTTCAGAGACTCCTCCCTGGCAAATGAACAGCCTGACATAACTAAGGGTAAAAAAAAGAGAAAGGATGCCCAGCATCTTGTTTCTTCTCCTTTGAAAAAATCAGAAATTTGCGATGAGACTGAAAAGGCCACTTCTATACCCAAAAAGAGTAAAAAGAGAAGAAAAGGTGCTTTGGGGGTCGATAAGGAAACAGGTGTTGCGTGCGTCCTGGTGAATAAAGAAAACATTGAGAACACACCAAAGAATTTTACAAAGAATGTCGATGTCGTTTACATTGATGTAAGCAAGGAGCGAAAGTCAACAAAAGGGCCTGAAGCAGATGAACCGCATTTAGTTACTAAGTCACATGAACATGAGTCAGAACTGCATGATAAAGTTCGGGAGAAAAAGCAGAAAAAACGTCGGAGGAGAGTTTCATCCTGCGATGCTGCCCAGGAAAGTCTGGGTGCAAGCATCACCCTGCCCGGATCAGAACCCCAAGAGCAGGAACCCCAGCCTCCCATGGGCCAAGAAGGTGAAATTGCACAACTACCAGTGTCTGCAGATCAAAGCAAGTCTAAGAAAAGAAAGAGGAAGCGTCCAAATGACCAGGAATTCGAGGCCTTGCCTGCGCCTGAGAGCGCTGAGAACATATACTCAGAGGGATCGCAAGTGATTGGTGAGGTCGGGACTGCAGGGGGCAATCAGGAATCCAGTGGCCTCAAGAAAAAGTCTAAGAAAAGGAAGAGAAGATCTTCTGTTGATACTGCCGTGGCACCTGGTGGTGATTTTTCAGTCCTCAGGACGAACTCTGAGGACACACTCTTTGATTCAGTGGAAGGTAATGGTACCTTGATTGAAGAAAGTGTGAAACGCAGGCCACAAGAGGAGAAACCCCAGGCCTGTTCGGAAGAGGTGCAGAGGTAATGTGTGGGTGTTGAGCCTTCTGATGGTGTGTGTCTTGGGTGTGAAGTCTGCCGGTTACCTCTTTGTTCAGCATGGCCATAGTAAGTGGCAGAAATCATAAAGAGATAGACCATCAAATGTACAGGATGTCGTGGACATTTAACTGAGTAACTTGGCAGGTACCTTCCGTTCTTCAAGTATAAAATAAGGCAGGTAGAGTCTGTTTTCACTAAGAACTATTCCAGCCCTGAAATTCTTTGTATAAGTTTAAAAAGAATTTTAAGACCCCACAGTTACCTTGTCTATATGTACAGAGATAGGAGAAAGGATCAGAGAACTTAGAATGTTACGGAACATGAAAAAAAGTTGAATTAGGGTTCTCCCTAACAAAAGAAATTTAGATATCATTATTTATATAATTATCATTTAAGTATACTGGCCGATGAATAGATGCAGGAATTTTTTTTAAAGCACTTTATTTCAGTTCCTGGGAGTCGGGACAGGTTTTTCCCCATTTCTACTCTGTGACTTTCTTACATTTGCTAGATTGTCCTGGCTTAAAATAGTTTCACATAGAAGTTAAATGGCAGAGGGCCCAACTCACATCAGCCTCTGTGCCTTCTCATTGGGGACATTTTTAGGTCACTGATAACGAGGCAGGAATGTTCTCGGCCTGTGGTTCTTAACTTGTTTGGTGCTATGGACCTGTTGACCCTCCGCTCAGACAAATGCGTACAGTTTTGTTTTTGTTTTGTTTCAGTTTCCTGTCTGGGTGGTTAGCTGATGCAGTTGGCTAAGAGCAGCTTTGGACATCTGGCCGAAAGTTTGTGGGAGTGAATTAGTGATAGATACATAGAAAACTATGTTTTCTTTATACTGCCAAGGGGAAAATATGTGGCCCTTGTTAACTGCAACGAAGCAATTGTAACAATGTAAACCCTGAATATTGACTTAACTAATTAGTAACCATTATTATAAAACATAACTCATTGTGGGGGGGAGGTGTCTTGAGTATCCATGGGCCGTAGAAGAGGGCTGAGCTTATTAGGAAGTCACTATCTGAAACAATACAGTTGAGAAATTGTAACATAAGAAGCAATGCCTGGTGGAAATAGGGCTTAGGGCAACATGTTTACCTTCCAGGCAGCCTCTGAGGTGTATCCAAGTTAGTAAAGCTACATTAAAGAGTTCAGACATCACAGACTGAATCAACTCCAAGATCCCTTCCAGCTTTAACGCTGTTGTAGTCAAAGGGAGAGTCACTGTAAGAAAAGAATCTGAAAGCCGTTAGGGCACGTGACCTGTCAGTGTTAGTCAATCCAGTTTTTCTCCTTAGATTAGAACCTACAAATGAAGAAGAAAGCAATTTGGAGTCGGCTAAAGATCCTGAAACCAAGTATTTATCTGAAGATTCGAGAGATTCAGATAATTCAGACGTGGATTTGGATTCTGCTGTGAGGCAGCTCCAGGAGTTCATCCCTGATATCAAGGAGAGGGCTGCCACTACAATTAAGCGAATGTATCGGGATGACTTGGGACGCTTTAAAGAATTTAAAGCCCAGGGTAAGCTTGTGGAACTTGAATATTTGTTGAACTTTTCTATATGCGTATCTAGCCCTGGCTTTCTTTTGTGAGCGATTCAGATTTATAGATTCACAAAAAGCATCCCTTAGCTACTTTCAGCTTTATCTCCTTCCAGAATCGTTATCTGCACTGTAAAATTACCAAAACGAAGTGCACTAGTTTTCCTCTTCTTTGCCCAACTTCTGGTAGGGGAGGTGAGGAAAATGGGGCTAACGGATCCAGGTGATCCACAGACTAGAATATCAAGCCCGGAAGAAGACGAGGAGGAGGTTAAGTGGTTGAGACGCTGGGAGGGGGCACAAGTGAAATCAAATTAAAACACGCATATCAGCATCGTCAGCTTCGATGAGGTGTAATTTCAAGGATATTAATTTGAGGGTGAGCTGGTTGTAGTGGGCATGGCTTCAGGCAGCACCCAGCTTCGTCTCCTTCTTGATTTCACTGTGTTACAAGAACCTCCCAGAAAGCTTATTGGGTTTCAGAATGAACTACAGATGTAAGGTTGTATACTGCAGGTGAGCAGTACTTACTGATGGGTATCTGCGGTGTGAGGCCCAGTGCCACTGGTCATTGAAAAAAGTAAAAAGAGGGGCCTTAGCCTTATGGAATTAATCATGTTGATAAGATTAGTTTTTTTAAAAAATAGACAAATTGATCAAGAAAAACACAATTTACAGAGCAATATCTATAGAAGGACCCCGTTTTATTTCTGTATTCTGTGTTGACATTTTTATGAGTACGTATTTTATAAAAGATTTTTAAAATAAGTCTAAGATTAGGAAAATGTACTGTGTAATGCAGTCAGTAATAATGAGACTTCAGTGCTTTGAGTTATGACGAGGAATAGAACGTAAATTGCAGTGACATTGTCCCCACCTCCCCCGAATATGTATACGTAGAGAATATACATGTTCAGGTTTGTGCCAACCAGTTCCCAGCACTGCCTTGGGGGGAGCAGGGGTAGAGGAGAGTGGGGGGGGGGGGCTTCTTTTAAACTTTTATTTCAATACTGTTTGCATTTTTAATGAATATCTATTACTGTTAATTTATTTTTTAAATAACTGTAAAAAGGAACTAATGACACAAGAAAGGTCACGTTGGAGTAGGATGACCAGGGAAGACTTTGGGAGGACAGTGTGGTTTAGGCCGAACTCTGCAGGAGAGCGAATGTCAAGGGCACAAGCGGGGGCTGCTCCCCGATAGGTAGGGAGGAGCTGACGGGTGCTGTTGTAATTGCTAAAGACCAAGCGGTGGTTCGCTTTCGTTCATCGTTGACAGTTGTGTACCTTTTTCTCCTGCCCCAAATCCTAGGTGTCGCTATTAAGTTTGGCAAGTTTTCCGTGAAGGAAAATAAGCAGTTAGAGAAAAACGTGCGAGAATTTCTGTCTCTGACAGGAATCGAGAATGCAGACAAGCTGCTGTACACAGACAGATACCCAGAGGAGAAATCGCTAATCACCGACTTAAAAAGAAAATACTCGTTTAGATTGCACATTGGTAAGTTTAGAACTGTGGCCCCTTGGAGCATCCATAGCCTTCCAGCCTTACACAGACAACCGCGGCAAGTATTGAGCACAGCGCCCGGCCCGCCCAGCGCGTGCAGTGCATGTTAGCTGCTGCTACGTTAATAGTATTTTTATTGCCAGCCTATACGTTCAGGGATTTGGAATGTGTTCATGTCTCCCAAGAATAGTGCTTTTACAGATTTTCTAACAAATTAGATGATCAGCTTCCAGCTTTCCTACTTGGTAACAGTTACGGTTTTGGCTTCTCTTCTTGTCCTCTATTGTGTATTTTTTGCACATACTGCGCAAAGCACTCTGGTATACACCAGAGTCTCTGAAGTTTTTTAAGTAGAGCCGTATTTGTGCTGTGAGCTGGAACCCTCCTCTTGGAGGTATCCTGGAGAAGTTAGAAGGTCATGAAGCAATGTAGGTTTGGACTGGAAAAAAAAAAATCTCTCTTGAATTTAGAGAGGATAATTTCTGAGGTGGAATGCACAAAGGAAAACAGAACAATGAGCCCCTGCTGGGGGATCCTTTCATCTTTAGAGTGGCAAAGCAGGAAAAAGCTTATTCATTTGCAAAGGTTTTTTGTTTATCTTATGGAGAACTGCTGGAGTGTGTCCTCCACCTCCAGATTTTGTTAAAATCCCTTTGCCTAATAAGGGTCTTTTCCATGAATTTAGTAGACCAGAAGCTAGAGCCTCTACATGCTAAGCATCTAGTTTTCAGAGATCGCCAAGGAAACTGGGGATTTTGTATATCTGCTCCCCAAGACGGCTTTCTGCAGGACATAGGAAACTGCAACCTCCGCCTGGGGTCTAGGATAGCGCATGTTGTAAAAAGGGGGCCATTCTGGGTTTCTTTTATAATCGCGACTGCATTTCATGCCACGTTCTAGTTGTCCCTCTGACCACCTCTCTTCCGACTTTAGGTAAGGGCATTGCCCGGCCCTGGAAACTCGTATACTACCGAGCAAAGAAGATGTTTGATGTCAACAATTACAAAGGCAGGTAAGAAAAAACTTGAGCAGAGCATTTCTCTAGTCTTTGCTGATACTGTAAATCAAAATGTACACAACAAAATCGTGAAGAGTTTCGTGTGTGAAACCAGATGTGTCGTCAGGTGTATGTCTCCAAAGACCCGTTGAGTTTCCACCTCTTGAATAAGTCTTCTGTCATCTTCCCATTTCTAAATCCCTGGCTTTTACTTTATGCTTTCATTTTAGCGTTCTCCATGCGCTGCCTCTTAGCGTCACCCGCGCAGTTTTCTCAGCAGCCTCCTAAGTTGTCAGCTCCTCGTGAACCCAGACGTTCCTTCTCGGTGTGACGTGTGCCCTCCAGCACTGAGCCCGGTGCTTCGGGTTTTCAGTAAATATTCGAAGGTGGGGGCGAGCACTTGTGTGAGGTCATTTAAGTGTGATTCGGCAGCCTCAATGCAGAGCTTCATGTGGCAGTGGCCATTCTCTCCTCCCTTTTTTCCTAAATAAAATACCCAATTATGGTCTGTTTCCAACATTCCAAATAAAACAAATGTAGACCGAGCGTCAGTGGTGGGTAAGCACTCTGCTTAAGGACAAAGAGTTGAGGGAGAAGGCATCAGCTCCTACCCTTGAGGGCCCAGACAGCCACCTAGGGCTCAACTACTGATCTCACTTCCAGGAGGCAGATGGAGTGAATCTGGCAGGGCCAGTTGGGTCCTACTTAGCGCTGTGATTTTAAATCAGGACATAGGTACTATCAGAATTGAACATTGATATGACCTTGGCTTCTTTTTAAAAATTTTTACCAAAAGAAATAAACCTGAAGGAGAGGAAAGATGCCTCCGCACAGACTGAAACCTGCCCTCCCTTTTTCCCAAGCCCCCGCTGTGTACTTTAAGGAAATTCACTAAAGATGACATTTTAAATGGGACCAAAAAGATGCTTTTGGTAAATGAATGAGGTAACATGTTTTTCTACCTGTTACATCACTGTGGGAAATGACATTTTTCAAATAATGAAAGTCTGTCATTCTGATAATAAAGTTCATTCATTGGTACCATATTATTTGTGTTGCGATGACCATTTACCCTTAAAGTATTTTTCCAGCTTAAGGAACTCTTAAGGGAAAAAACCATACAAAGTCAAAAATCAAAGAATTGTAAGGCTCCAAGGGGCCATGGAGGTCAGTGCACCTGTTTCCTCATTTTCGTACACTCTGTTTTTCTCTCATGTCCTCTTTTTTGTTGCTTCAAGGGTACCTTTAAGTCTTGTTTTAAATCTCAGGAAGACCCTGCTTGCCTTATAAACTGCTAAAAAGCTTGATTCTTAATGGTGAAGGATTTCGCATCTCTATTCACCATGCTCTGCATTTTAGATACATTTCTGAGAATGCTAGGATCTTACTGTCCCACGTAGTTGTGGATCACCCTCGTTAGAAATGGTTAGTATTTTACTAGGGCTGCTTTTGTGTTGCATTAGTAATAACATAAACTACCACTTCCGGCCCCTCTTCCTCCCCCCAAAAAGGAATTATAAAATGTCATAAAGATGGCTTTTTCTTCCCTTAAACATTTAAGATGTTTAATCTCAAAATCCATATATATTATAGTGCACTTTAGTTCTTTTCTTTTAATATATTTGCTTTTATGTGGGATTCCTGCATCTTAACTTCCTTAAACTGTGACAGATTTGTGCTAAGGCATCTGTCACATCCTTTTTTTTTTTTTTTAATGACAGCTCTCCTTTTTTCTGGCTGAGTTGGGTCTTTGTTGTTGCGCACGGGCTTTCTCTAGTTGCGGCGAGCAGGGGCTACACTTCGTTGCAGTGCGTGGGCTTGTCATTGCGGTGGCTTCTCTTATTGCGGAGCACGGGCTCTAGGCGCACGGGCTTCAGTAGTTGTGGCTCGCAGGCTCAGTAGTTGTGGCGCACAGGCTTAGTTGCTCCGCGGCATGTGGGATTTTCCCAGACCAGGGATCGAACCCGTGTCCCCTGCATTCGCAGGCAGATTCTTAACCACTGCGCCACCAGGGAAGTCCCTGTCACATCTTTATTGAGCATCTGTTGTCTGTCAAGCATCACGGGTACCAAAGTGTAGAAAACTGACAGGGTCCCTGCCCTCCAAGGACTTCCCCTCCAGAGCTGTGCTGTCCATCCATGTGACCACCAGCCTCATGTGGCCATGGAGAACTTGAACTATGGTTAGTCCAAGCTGAGATGCGCTGAAGAGTGAAGTATACAATGGACTTAGAAGGCTTGGTGTGGAGAAGAGAATGTAAGGTATCTCATTCATACTTTTAGGTTCTGATTACATCTTGAAATGGCTGCATTTTTAATATATTGAGTTAAATGAAATATGTTATTAATTCATTAAAACTAAATAAAATTAGGGACTTCCTTGGCGGTCTAGTGGTTAAGACTCCGTGCTTCCACTGCAGGGGGCGTGGGTTCGATCCTTGGTTGGGGAACTAAGATCCCACATGCCGCATGCTGCCGCCAAAAAAAACCCACCAAAAACATGGAAGACAGAGTAGAATGGTGGAAAGTGGTCCTTGGTGATTTGACTGAGCTCCTGGATTAAGCTAACCCTAGGGCCCACCTGTATCTGGACTTTTCAATTGCTTGAGCCAATAAATTATCTTAAAAAAAACTAAATAAAATTAATTTTCACCTGACCACTAGAAAATTCTAAATGACATCTGTGGCTCATATTTCCATTGGCCAGTGGTGGCCTAGACGAAGAGTCAGATAAACCAGGGAAGCCACGAGTGTACAGTTGCCAGTGGTGACGGGGGCAGTGAGAGAGCAGCAGAGTGTCCTGTGGGAGGGGACAGCAGGACACCTCCAACCCAGGCGGTCAGGGAAGCCCCCTCTGAAGATGCACCATTTAAGCTGCTTCTGAAGAGCTTGCAGGAGCTGTCCAGCGGTGGAGGGAGGCCATTCCCACCACAGGTCCAGAGGCTCCGAGGTGAGAAAGGCCGATAAGGCCAATGGGGCTGAACTTAGGGAGCACCGAGCTTTGCAGGCACAGTCAGAAGTTCGGGTTTTATCGTGTGAAGCCTTTATGGGTTTGGCTGGGGAATAATATGATCGGATTATTTGCCCTGGCCTCTGTGTAAGTGAGCCAGAGACTGCGGTGACTGACTTACAGGATGCTCACGGTTGAGATGCCGAGACAGGAAGTATCTGGGCTCAGGTTCTTGGTAGGACTGTGCTGAGCAGGTTTCCTGACAGCCCACCCTATACGGCTTCTCCCAGCGTCGCAGCGGGCTGCAGTGAGAATAGTGGTTTTAAGCTTGTGGTTAATGTTCAGCTGTGATCTGTTTTCCCTTCCTCTTAGGTATAGCAAAGGAGATACCGAGAAGCTAAAGATATACCAGTCCCTCCATGGAAACGACTGGAAAAAGATTGGCGAGATGGTGTCTCGAAGTAGCCTCTCTGTGGCCCTGAAGTTCTCCCAGATCAGCAGTCGTAAGTCGTGGTCTCTAGAGCCCACTTGGGTGAACGAATTAGCCCACAGCGGCCCAGGGCCCAGGCATCACTACAGGCCTGTCTTCTGAGAGAGTCATCACTTTTTCAGCCATTCTCTTACTGATTCATTTATTTCTCCATGCATATTGATGCAACCTTAATTCACCAGACTGATTTCTGCCACACCTTATTTCAGTAGCTTTCAGTGTGACTCCAACTGCCAGGTAAACTGAAACCCACTCAGCCGGTGGGCAGGAGAGCCTGGGCCACCAAGATCCCTTCCCCCAGGTGGCCAGGGAAACCATCAAAGGGAGGGCCTGTTAGTCAGGGACGTTTCCCAAAACCAGTGTCAGTCATCTCTTGTCTCTTCTCCTCTTTCATAAAAAGCTTCCTTGGTTATATCCTTCACCTTAAAAAGTCCCCAGTTGCTTTCAGAAGACAGTCCTTAGTGGGTGTTAGCTTCAGCCCAGAGGCTCATGTGCTCCGGCCCTGCAGGCAGAGCCGTGCAGCGGGTCCCAGACAGGCGTCTGCATGTCCGCACATGGTAAACTCTGAGGTGGTGGAGACCATGCCTTTTTTGCCACCAACTCTGGCCACCGGTGCCGTGTGAAGACTCAGCGCAGCCAATTCTGCCAGTTTCCAAGAAGTAAAGCAAACATCTGGATTTGCATGTGTGTGTGAAATCAAGATCATTTTTTCTTGGGACCCTCTTTTTAAAAATAAATTTATTTATTTATTTATGGCTGCGTTGGGTCTTCGTTGCTGCGTGCGGGCTTTCTCTAGTTGCGGTGAGCAGGGGCTACTCTTTATTGCAGTGCACAGGCTTCTCAATGCGGTGGCTTCTCTTGCTGTGGAGCACGGGCTCTAGGTGCGCGGGCTTCAGTAGATGTGGCACACGGGCTCAGTAGTTGTGGCTCGTGGGCTCTAGATCGCAGGCTCAGTAGTTGTGGCGCACGGACTTAGTTGCTCCGTGGCATGTGGGATCTTCCCGGACCAGGGATGGAACCCGTGTCCCCTGCGTTGGCAGGCGGATTCTTAACCACTGCGCCACCAGGGAAACCCTTCTTGGGATTCTCTTGATTTTTAAATATTCATCCAAATTGTTATTGGGGAAATAGTGACAATAACATTCTGTAGGCCAGATCAAAGATATCTGTAGCCTGCCAGCTTGCGGCCTCTTCCTTAGCATGACTGTGAGCATCTAGACAAGAAGAGTGAATCGTAGAAGCTTTTGATGCCCTGCGCCAAGGACTGGCTTTAGGAATTCACAGGTGCCGGGACTTCTCTGGTGGTTCAGTGGTTAAGAATCCACACTTCCACTTCAGAGGACGCGAGTTCAATTCCTGGTCGGGGAACTAGGATCCCACATGCTGCAGGGCAACTAAGCCCACGCTCGGCAACTAGAGAGAAACCTGCACACCACAACGAAGGTCCTGCGTGCTGCAGCTAAGGCCGAACACAGCCAAATAAATTTTTTTTAAATAAAATAGCTTAATGAGTGCAAAATATTAAAAAAAAACAAAACAAAGAAAGAAAAATAAATTCACAGGTGCCTTCTTCATCAAGTACTGTGGTGGCGTCATTGCAGCTGTTAATTTCACCCTAGAAACTCTTGGGGAGAGTTATGTATATAACATGAAAGTCGTTTGGTTGTTCTCTTTCCACTAAATGTTTGGGAACCTCACAATTTCCTGCAGGAGGTATTACTCTTAGAAACAGGAAGAACAGTTTTTTCGAAGTTAAAAAAAAGATTGCTTTAAGAAAGGATTTTTTTCTTTGCAGTTGGTTGTGTGTGTGTGTGTGTGTGTGATTGGTTCTTAAAAAGAATCTATGGCCACTTTCGTAGTTTCATTTTGATTTGCATGTAACTGATAGTTCTTTTTGTTTCGTTTTGTTTCGTTCGGCTGCGTTGGGTCTTCATTTGCTGCGTGCAGGCTTTCTCTAGTTGTGGCGAGCAGGGGCTACTCTTGGTTGCGGTGTACGGGCTTCTCATTGCAGTGGCTTCTCTTGTTGCAGAGCACTGGCTCTAGGTGCGCAGGCTTCAGTAGTTGTGGCATACGGGCTCAGTAGTTCTGACACACGGACTCTAGAGCACAGGCTTAATAGTTGTGGCTCGTGGGCTTAGTTGCTCCACGGCATGTGGGATCTTCCCAGACAGGGGCACAAACCCGTGTGCCCTGCATCGGCAGGCGGACTCTCAACCACTGCGCCACCAGGGAAGCCCCGGATTCTTAACCACTGCGCCACCAGGGAAGTCCATAACTGATAGTTTTATGTTTGTGTAATTGAGATGTTGCCCATTGTCTTCTGAAAAGTGTCTGATTTATCTTTTTGTTTTTAAAGACTTTATTTTGGGACTTCCCTGGTGGTCCAGTGGTAAAGAATCCTCCTTCAGTTGCAGGGGACGCTGGTCGGGGAACTAAGATCCCACATACCACGGGGCAGCTAAGCCCGCTCTCCACAACTGCTGAGCTCACGCACCCTGTAGCCCGTGTGCCGCAAACTACAGGGGCCATGCACCACGACTAGAGAGAGAAAACTCACACGCCGCAACTAGAGAGAAGCCCGTGCACCACAACAAAGAGCCTGCGCTGCAACAAAAGATCCCACATGCCTCAACAAAGATCCCATGTGCCGCAACTAAGACCCAACGCAGCCAAAAAAATAAAGAAAATAAATAAAGAAAGAAAAAAAAAAAAGACTGTTTTTCTAGAGCAGTCTTGGGTTCACAGTTAAAGTGAGAGGAAGGTACAAAGACTTCCTACTTATCTCCTGCCCTATACATACACAGCACACCCCCATTCTCAACACCCCCCAGCAGAGTGGTCCGTTTGTTACAATCCATGAAGCTACCTTGACACATCTTAACCCCCCAGAGTCCACAGTCCACATTAGGGTTCACTCTTGGTGTTGTACCTTCTGTGGGTTTGGAGAGATGTCAAATGACAGATATCCATCATTATCATTTTGTTGTTAATATTGTGTTTGAAAGCAAATAGATTAGCAACTTCAAGGCCATCCTTTTATGTCAACAGAAAGAAATCATGGTGCTTGGAGCAAGACGGAGACCCAGAAACTAATCAAGGCTGTTGAAGAAGTGATTCTAAAGAAAATGTCTCCCCAGGAGCTAAATGAGATGGATTCTAAACTCCAAGAGAATCCTGAAGGCCGCCTGTCAGTTGTTCGGGAAAAACTCTACAAAGGCATATCCTGGGTAGAAGTGGAGGCTAAAGTGGAAACCAGGAATTGGATGCAGTGTAAAAGTAAGTGGTAAGTTTGAGGCTTCTTACATAAATTTCAACAAGATGCATTCCCTGCCCCCCTCTCAGCAACTTCCGGAGAGGGGTGGACTGCTGAGGTTACTAAGAATATCTGTAACTACCACGTGGAAAGCCTTACAGTCGGTCAAGAATGATCCTCTGCGATCTGCTGCTCCAAGCACTTCAACATCAATGGCTGACTTAAGTTAGCATTTAGCCAACCCTGATTCATTGTGTGGCTCCTTCACAAAGAACTCGAACCTTTTATTCTATTTATTTATTTGTTTAATTGAAGTATAGTTGATTTACAGTGTTGTGCCAGTTTCTGGTATACTAAGTGATTCAGCTATGCGCACATAACATTTTTTATTCTTTTCCAATATAACTTATTATACTAAGTGATTCAGCTATGCGCACATAACATTTTTTATTCTTTTCCAATATAACTTATTACAAGATATTGAATACAGTTTCCTGTGCTGTCCAGTAGGACCTTGTTGTTTATCTGTTTTATATACAGAAGTTTGTATCTGCTAATCCGCAACTTCAAATTTATTCCTGCCCCCTTTCCCCTTCGGTAACCATAAGTTTGTTTTCTGTGTCTGTGAGTCTGTTTCTGTTTTGTAAACAGAACTTGAATCTTCTTAATATTGAATATTGACTTCTGGTTTCTTCACTCTGTCCCTTTCTTCATAAAACCAGGTTGTTATCTATTTATAGCATGAAAAAAAAGATACAAAATTAACGTCTGAATGTTTAGGAGGGAAATCACAAGCGTAGTGATCAGTAATAGCTCCACCTTTTTACTTTTGCTTTCTAATTCAGCAGTTCCTCTGTCTTCATCCAAAGCAGGGCAGTCATACTCTTCATCCTAGAACATCTTTAGGTACATCCATCACGAAGAAGTAGTTTCAGTCCAGATCTCGCTGCACGTTGTTTGCCCGACGTAGCTTTTCCCAGCCCTGGAGGGTTTCTGAGCTAACTTTCAGCTGCAGCATGACAGCTTGAAGCAGTGGTTCTACAGCCCACGACCCAGGCCTCCTGCATGAAGGGAGCTTCATCGTCTTGACCATTAAAGAAGAATGAAATCCAGAGTGGGCGTGTTGTACGTTAAAAGCAGACTCCTAGATTATACTGTGTATTGTTTATATACCTTACAGTTCTGCTGTAGAATATTTATTTTACTAGAAGACTACCCTCAGGAAATAAGCTCCAAAGGGCAGATAATGTTTAGAAGGGGAAGTGTGTAATATGGAGACACCAGAGCCCTTCCTACCCCTATATCTTAGACTTAAAAACGGGAGTGGGGGCTTCCCTGGTGGCTCAGTGGTTAAAAATCCGCCTGCCAATGCAGGGGACACGGGTTCAAAGCCCCGGTCTGGGAAGATCCCACATGCCGCGGAGCAACTAAGCCCGTGCGCCACAACTACTGAGCCTGCGCTCTAGAGCCTGCGAGCCACAACTGCTGAGCCTGCGTGCCACAACTACTGAAGCCCACCTGCCTAGAGCCCATGCTCTGCAACAGAGGCCACTGCAATGAGAAGCCCGTGTACCGCAATGAAGAGTAGCCCCCGCTCGCCACAACTAAAGAAAGCCCACGTGCAGCAACGAAGACCCAACGCAGCCAAAAATAATTAATTAATAATTAATTACTTTAAAAAGGAGTGGGTTATAAAGCCTCAGTTGGAAGATGATACGTCAGTGTCTTAAAAGGGAAATGATGAAGGGGAGCCGTGCTTCAGAACCAGCATAATTAAATAACATGCAAGGGTTCTTTTTTAATTTGAAGAAAAATGTAGGAAACTTGAACGCTGAACATAGATTTACTTCATGAAACATTGAAATGGCATCAGCGGGTACATTTCAAACCAGTGAACGTGGGTGGCTACTAGTAAAAACAGTGTCAGTTTCTGTGTGTGTGCATCATGTACCTCCCTTCTCAAGAAAGTAAATGTTACAGCTCATGATCTGTCCATCAAATTGTGACAAATTTCACTCTTCAAGAGAAGCACTTTTTAAATATTTTTAAATTTAGTAATTTGGTGTTTCAGCAGCTATAATGGTAATAAGAGCAATGTCTCTCTGCTTTATAAACAAGCAAAAATAAATTGAGTTTACACAGCGCCCTTTAGCACCTGCAAGCAGGCTTATTCTTTCTTTTCCTCCCTTTTTTTTAACTGTTTATTATGGAAATTGTGTAACACACAGCAACTTAGAACTCCTTGTGTCCATCATTCATTTTCAATAACCATCAACTTCCTATCTCTCTATTTACCCTTTCCCACTTTAAAAAAATTAAAAAAGGTATATTCTTGATGGTGGTAAATGTTAGCAGTGATGAGTTGCAAAAGTTATAAAGTGGTTCTGAATAAGGACAATTTAAATGAGGCAGACAAAGGACATTTTAATGGAAACTTTACCCCGAAAATAAACTGTTTTTCTTTCTTTCAATGTAGGACGGAAATTCTAACCAAGAGGATGACAAATGGTCGGGACGTATACCGGGGAGTTAATGCCCTACAGGCCAAGATCAACCTCATTGAAAGGTACAGAAATAGAAAGTGACGGTATTTTACCTGGTCTTCTCTCTAGCCAAAGAGTAGTTGTTCAACAGCAGAATCTGCAGTAAGATCACCACGGTTCATATTCCTCTTCCAGCACTTTCTACATGCATGACCTTGGACGTGTTTCCTACCTTTCTAGGTCTTGGTTTGTTCATCTTAAATGAGGATGATAATAACAGTACCTGCCTCTTAGTGTTATTGGCAGAAGAAATGAAATAATGCATGTAAAACGTAGCATGCACTCAATAAACATAGCTATTTTAGTCTTTAAGGCTTTCACATAGACATGGCTTACTTCTGTCCATTGGAAAATGGAGCTAAATACTTCAGGCCGAGCCCTACTGCTCTCTAGCACGCGTTAGTTGGTGTCACTGCTGCTTGGTCTTTAGTTTTGTCTTTGAGTTCCTGGTCCGTGCAGAGTCCTCCGTCCCCTGATGGGCAGGGAGACAATGGACCTGTTTTACAAAGTCAGCGAGTCTAGTGGAGCTGGGCTCGTGTCCAATGAGGAACAGCAAAGAGCAGAAGAAACCTTTGGATTCTGGCCGCCCTGTCCAGCTTCATTATTCTTGCGCCCTGTCAGGAAGCCTGCTTCTCCTTCATTGGTGGGCTTCCTCGCTCTCCACGCTGGCCTGGCTGGGGTTGCCTTCCCCTTTTCTCCTCTACCAGAGAGACAGCAGAGACTAGCAGAGCCAAGGAGGCCATCTCACGTCAGGCAGGCCTGGGTTCCAATGTGGGTACCGCCTATGAGTCATGAAACCTTGAGCCAATGACTCGAGCTCTCAGCCCTGATTCCTGGCCTGTGGAAAGGACGTAATCCCCTAGCTTCATCAGGTGATGTTGAGGGTAAATGGATTAGTGGGTATCAAGGTCGTAACCCAGCGTCTGTCACATAGCAAGTGCTGAGTGCGCATGTGTACTGCTCTTGTGTGTCTACGCTGAAGGGTGAAGTTGTGTTTTTGTTTGTTTGGTTGGTTGGTTTTTAATTTTTTATTTATTTATTTGGTTGCGTCGTGTCTTAGTTGCAGCAGGCGGGCTCCTTAGTTGTGGCATGCAGACTCTTAGTTGCGGCATACGTGTGGGATCTAGTTCCCTGACCAGGGATCGAACCCGGGCGCCCTGCATTGGGAGTGTGGAGTCTTAACCACTGTGCCACCAGGGAAGTCCCTCTGTGGTTTTTTTTTTTTAATTGAAGTATAGTTGATTTACAATGTTGTGTTTAACCTTTGCTGTACAGCAAGGTGACTCAGTTATACATATATTTTTTTTTTCATATTTCATTCTTTTCTATTATGGTTTATCACAGCATACTGAATATAGTTCCTTGTGAAGTTGTATTTTTTACTAGGCTTGGTGGGAGATGCAAAGGGCTCAGGAGGAGGAAGGGTGATTTTTTTTGGTCTGTAGTTCACCCCATGACCTTGGGCTGACCTTGGGTTAGGATGCCAGTGACACTGGGCCTGTGTAACAAGGGAGCTGGAACAGGGGTGAACACGCTGAGGCCTTCCAGCTCTTAATATTCTGTGAGTCCATGAAGATGTCCATCATGTTGATTTTTGGCTTGAAAACTTAATTTTTATTTTTTCTCATAGGTTGTATGAAATAAATGTGGAAGATGTTAATGAAATAGACTGGGAAGATCTTGCTAGCACCATAGGGTAAGGCCATTTGTTTACTATCAAGCTAATGAAAAAATCAGAGAGGAGTTCTAATAAATGACTGCCTCTCAGATTTGAAGAACAGGACTGAAATTCCTGCTGCTTATGGAACTCATTTATAAATTGTATTTGTGTATATATGTATTGGGAACACCCTGTCTAAGTACCAGACCAGGTAAATCAGACCAGCCCTCCCTCCGCTCCAGCCACCACCTCCACCCCAAGACACCTGAGGAGAGTGAATGAAATGTGTGCAGAGTCTCTTAAAAGCTTCATGGAGCACACCAGCTATGACTGGGACAAAGAACCCATGGTCCCTTTGCCCATAATTAGCCTTCTACCATTTGCCACGTTGACTTTATCATCCCTCCCTCCCTCCCTCTCCCGCTCCCTTCTACAAGGGAATAGAATTCTTTCCCTTAACCGTTTAAGTGTTAATGGTGGACGACATGTCCTCAGCAAGGCTGTTACTCTGCGTCAGCACAGTGATCGTACTGAGGGTGCCTGGCACTGATGTACTACTATTGTCTAAAACACAGTCCCCATGCAAATTTCACCCAGCGTCCCAGTCGTGTCCTTTATAACACTTTCCCCCTGATTTAAGATCCAGCCCAGGATCTGTCTCCTTAGTGTCTTCTAATCTGCAGAGTTCTTCTGCCTTTTCTTTTTTTTTTTTTTTTTTTAATTATTGGAGTATAGTTGATTTACAATGTTTCAGGTGTACAGCAGAATGATTCCATTATAGATTCTTTTCTGTTATAGATTTTTTAAAATTTATTTATTTATTTATTTATTTTTGGCTGCGTTGGGTCTTCATTGCTGTGCATGGGCTTTCTCTGGTTGGGGCGAGCGGGGGCTGCTCTTCATTGCGGCACGTGGGCTTTTCATTGAGGTGGCTTCTCTTGTTGCGGAGCATGGGCTCTAGGCGCGTGGGCTCAGTAGTTGTGGCTCACGGGCTCTAGAGCACAGGCTCAGTAGTTGTGGTGCACGGGCTTAGTTGCTCTGCGACATGTGGGATCTTCCCGGACCAGGGCTTGAACCCATGTCCCCTGCAGTGGCAGGAGGATTCTTAGCCATTGCGCCACCAGGGAAGTCCCTCCGTTATAGGTTATTACAAGATATTGAATATAGCCCCCTGTGCTATACACTAGGTCCTTGTTGTTTATCTGTTCTATATACAGTAGTGTGTATCTGTTAATGCCTTTGTCTTCTATGACGTTGAAATTGTGGGGAAAATACAGGCTGGGCGTTCTGGAGAACTTGCCTCAGTTGGGGAGTTTGTCAGACGCTTCCTCACTGTTGGATTCGGGTTTTGTATTTTACGTGGGAATCAGTCACGGGGGGAGGCTGTGTTTCTGTCACCAGGTCACATCCCATCAGGAGGCATGTGGTTCTGATTTTGATGCCCTGGCTCTGGCGGCCTCTGCCACACTGCCCCACTGTAGAAAAGGAAGTTTTTCTCTTGGTGAAAAGAAATGGCCACGGGGAGATCTTTTGAGACCACGTCAAGCTGCTGTTCATCTTCGGGTTTCCCTCAGGGGTTTCGGTGTGCTGTTCATTTGCATCTCTCACCCGAGGAGTGAGATGTCCTCAGTTGCCGCTGTCTGCCTTCATCGCTGCGGTCCTTGCATTTTCAGTCAGTTCCTGCCGCTGGAGGAGAGGCCACCACTCTGAAGACCTGAATTCACTGCTAGCCAAGCAACCGAGAGCTGGCCGGCAAAGCACAGTCTCTCTAAGCAGCGCGCGTTGTTGAGCATCGCGGGGCTCAGGGGTTGGTGGGCTTTGGGAGGTGGGGATGTTGAGGGACTGTCTGGCCTTTAGTTTGGGAAGGGTGCTGAGGGCAACAGGGCTGCCGCAGCCTGGCTGCCTTTCAGAAACGTGGCTGCTGGTGTGAGGTTGTCACTGATCCATTAGGAAGGGTGTAAACTGGTTCTGCTGGTTAGTTATTTACACCTCGGGATTATGGACAAAGAACGATCAGTCCTTTTTTTTTTTTTTTAACTTGTGAATTGGAATCTTTTCGTGGCAGGCCCTGTTGGGAGCCACAGACACATGCCCGTGGTTCCAAACCCTTTCCTCTTCTAGCTCGTCTCAGGAGTGGGGCACCAGCTCTTGGGTTTGTGGGTCCCTGGGAGGGGAGGGTGTTAGGGGCTTTGAAGGAAGGGTGTCCTGCTGTGTACCCCACCAACTCCCATCCTAAGAAGTATTCATGTCGACAGGTCCCTCCCTTTGTAATATCAAACCGCTTTTGAAAAATCTGACTTTTGCAATAAATGTTTGTGTATCTTGTGACATTGCCTCAGATCACATTTCTTAAATTAAAATGGGTTTTTAATGATTTTAAGTAGAATTATATACTTAGATATTGATTGTTCTGGTTAAGGTTTAGAAATCTCAGAGCTGTTAAAACAGACATCATGGCATCCAGTCAAATACCATTGGAAATAGTACATCCTCAAAGCTTTAATAATGAGTTAAAACAGTGAAAATAATTAAATTAAAAGTTCGGTCTCTGAGGTTCTTTAAGCCTCCCTTGTGAATTATTTAGGCAGGATTTTAAAGAAAGCATCTCCACCTAATGAGATGTAACACCTACTTCGTCTGAAAATGTCCAGATCAGTTATTGTCACTTCTTGAAGCCTGAGCTTTGATCTGCAGAACAACCTGGGCGCAGGGCGCTGTGGGAAGAGGGAAGGCATAGATGCCCTAGAACTTGGGCTTTGCAGTCAGATGGACCGGGCGTCAAGTCCTGGGACTCTGCTCATAATTTAGCCAGCCTTGGGCAGGTCATTCCCTCCCTTGCCTCCGCGTCGCGGTTTCCTCATCTGTGCAGTGGTTTAACAGGACCTTGATGAGGACGACAGCAAGGAGACAGTGCGTGGCATGCAGTGCACACGCGGCGGGCAGCTGCTGCCATGAAGAGGCAGAAGGAGCCCAGCCGTCTTGTACTTCCACATACCTAGCAGATCCAGTTTTTCCCACTAATCATATAACAACTAGATTAATTAGTTACTGAAACAAATATGCCACGCTTTTATGGCTTAGGAAGTGAGTGCCCAGGAAGTGAAGTTAGTGATTTTCACTTTAAAAACATATTTAAGATGTGGTTGTTTCTGTCCTACTTATTGTAAGTGGAAAATGGATTTGACTCACCAGAATATCGTAAGCATCCTCTTTATTTAGCTTTGTAAAGTAAAAAAATCCAGACCCCTGCCTTTGCATTGTGACAAGTACATAGTTATCCTAAATGTAGTGGTTAAGAGTATAGGATGTGTGAAGTGTTGCCATTGGCAGCAACATGGATGGGCCTAGAGATGATCCTACTAAGTGAAGCAAGCCACACAGAGAGAGACAAACATCACGTGATACCAATTATACGTGGAATCTTAAAAACTGATAACAAATGAACTTATTTACAAAACACAAATAGACTCACAGACATAGAGAACAGACTTATGGTTACCAAAGGGTTAGCGGGAGGTAGGGGGGTAAATTAGGAGTCTTGGATTAACATATACACACTACTGTATATAAAATACATAAACAGTAAGGACCTACTGTGTGGCACAGGGAACTATACTCAATATCTGGTAATAATCTATAATGGAGAAGAATCTGAAAAAATAATATATATATATGTATAACTGAATCTTTCTGCTGTACCCTTGAAACTAACACAAGGTTATAAATTAACTATACTTCCATTAAAAAAAAAACTGATATCGAAAAAAAAGAAAAAAGTAGAATTTGGAGTGGACCCAACTGAAGTCCCAGCCCTTCCCCCCTTATTCACTGTAAGATCTTGGCCATCTTCTCTCGGTTTCACCATCTCCAAAACGAGGGATAAGCGTAGGAGCCCCCTCGCAGAGTGGTCGTGAGGGTTATTTGTTGCTCTGAGGAGAGCCCTCAGGGTGGGGCTGAAGACAATGTTAGCATGAGCCCCTGTGAGCTAGTGTTACACCTTGTCTTCCCAACTGGTAGTTTAGATTATTCTAGTTTAGACAGAATCCGTCTTGTCGTACTGCTGTTTTTCTTCCTTTTGTGTGTGTGTGTTTAACCAGATGAACAATAGCTTTTCATATGTGTCTTATTTTTCTCACATGTGTAGACACGAGGATTAAGAAAGCTGCTTAGGTCTGTAGACCACCCCTCAATCAATGCACTTAGTACACAGGACTGAAATGATTAACTTTTAAACTGCCACTAACTTTTTGACACCTTTTCCTTTCTAAAGGGATGTTCCTCCATCTTATGTCCAAACTAAATTTTATAAGCTGAAAGCTACCTGTGTTCCCTTTTGGCAGAAGAAGACTTTTCCAGGTCAGTATTTTCGGTATCTGAATAGTTAAAAGCACAGCATATTGGGGACACACGCTGGTAGTGTGACCTTGGGTAGTGACTTCTGGGAACCTCAGGTTCTTCAAATGGAAAACGGTGAAAATTGGCAAATTATAACCCCTACCTGACAGGACTTTCAGAAGTACTAAATGAGATAATGAGCTTGAAAAGTGTGGTCACCAGGCCGCCGGGCGTTTAGCAAGCACTGGGTGAGTAGCTGCGCGTGCTTCTGGGTTGCACAGCACACGTGCTCACGTGCACACGCTCACACCACATGCCTGCACGCACACTGATCCACAAAAAACTGGAGATACAGTTTCTTCTCTGCAGCCATTTGTAGGTGGTTTACATATGTAATTCCCAAACCTGGAGTATCAGAGTCAGGTGGGGAACTTGGGAAAAAGGTACATACCTGGGTCTCATCCCAGACCCAGTCGATCCTAGTCTCCAGTCTGGGTCCAGAGGCTAGGTTTTTCTCTAACAAGCTCACAAGTGAATCGCCAGTGGCCTGCCCAGCATCATTGTTTGGGAACCGCTGGTTCGGGTAACACTCCGCCCTGCAGTGTGTGACAAAATGCTCCTTGCGTTCAACAGACACCACTTCCTGGGTTTGAATCCTGGCTTCGCCCTCCTGACTCTATGACTTTGGATGAGTTTCATAATGTCTTTATGCCTCATTTGAAAAACGGGTGAACAATAGTGCCTACCTCATAGGATTTTTGAGAGGATTGAATGAGTGACTATGAATAAAGCAGTTAGAGCCAGGTCTTGTACACAGTAATGCCAGTAGCAATGCGTTGTCGTCATCCGCGCCGTCCGTCCTTTGACCGTGGGAAGAGGCTTTGTCAGATCATCTCAAGATTCAATTTCTTTTCTTTAGAGATTATAGACTACCTTTATGAGACTAGTCTACCGTTGCTTAAAGAAAAATTAGAGAAGAAGATGGAGAAAAAAGGGACTGAGATCCAGACCCCGGCAACCCCCAAGCCAGTCTTCCTGTTTCGAGACATCTTTTATTGTGACGATGACAGTGAGGGAGAAGACGGAGATGAACAATGTTAAGCGGCTGATACTCTCTCTTGTCCATTTTTCTAGGTCTGGTTGTGTTTATATACGTGTCAATAAAGCTATTTTCACTATTGATTTTACTGAAGAAGGTGCAACAGCCAAAGGAAGGGTATGAAAATAATAACATATTGTGGAGCATTAAAAATTGATTCACATTTCATATTCAAGTTTGTCTGAATGTGAAAAGAAAGGCAAGTGTATGAGTTGATTTAATATTTTCTGTGCTATTATATTGAAAATAATTACAACTAATGGTTTTCATACAACAACAGGATCCTGAGTCCCTCCAATGGTAGCAGAGGGTAGTCATGTCCGACGAATATTTTCTTTTTTTTTTGGCTGCGCCACATAGCTTATGGGATCTTAGTTCCCCACCAGGGATTGAACCCAGGCCCTCGGCAGTGAAAGCGCAGAGTCCTAACCCCTGGACTGCCAGGGAATTCCCCCAATGAACATTTTCATGATGTGGATTCAACTATACGTGCATTCAGCAAAAAAGAGAATGTTAACAATTTTAATAATGCATGCCATTTTGCTTTCTGTTTTTCAATTGTTTAGATGTATATTTTAGTGTGTGTGCGTGTTAGGTAAGTGGTACAGGGAAGTTTGTGTTCCCGCAAACTGGTTTCGGTTCCCACGTGCCTGTCATGGTGTGCGTATCTCATCTTCCTGAGTGTGATTCTAGTGTTTAAAGATAGGTATTTTTCATACAAGATGCCCTCTCAAAGCCAGTCCCAGAATTCATCTGGTGTTTAACTGGAAAAAACAAAGAAACCAGCAATCTCTTCCACTGCTTCTGGAAAAACTGCCTCTGTGAGACTTCCCTTGCTGGCAAGGGAAATAAAGTGCCAAGGCTTCTAGCCTCATCTGTACAGGGGAGAACATAGAAAGGAAGGTGTGGGTGAGCAATATCCCATACAGTGAGGCCACCCTCTGGGCCAAGGTGCAGCACCCTTGTCTCCTGAGTGTAGCATCGTGATGTGTGATGTTGGTCAATTCATCCACAAAGCTAGGCATTTTTCCAAGCTTGCCATCATCAGGGAAGGAAGAATACAGAGAAACAAGTTTAGGAGTCCTCATTCACCAGTATATCCACAGCACCTGTCATGGTGTTGTGCAAATAATAGACACTCGATAAATATTCAGGGAACAAATGAGTATTTTCTTTTTAAAATTTAATTTATTTATTTTTGGCTGTGTCGGGTCTTCGTTGCTGCACGCAGGCTTTCTCTAGTTGCTGCGAGCAGGGGCTACTCCTCATTGCAGTGCGCGGGCTTCTCACTCCGGTTGCTTCTCTTGTTGTGGAGCACGGGCTATAGGTATGTGGGCTTCAGTAGTTGTGGCCTGTGGGCTCATTAGTTGTGGTGCACGGGCTTAGTTGCTCCGCAGCATGTGGGATCTTCCTGGACCAGGAGTTGAACCCGTGTCCCCTGCATTGGCAGGCAGATTCTTAACCACTGCGCCACCAGGGAAGTCCCAGAACAAATGAATATTTTCTTTTTAATAAGCATTTTGCCTTTAGTCACCTCCTTCTATCTGTCAAACATACCAGTCTCCAGGCTGATGGGAATATAAATTACATGTTCCTTTTGGAGGACAATCCGGTAGAATACATCAAAGCCTTAACAATGTACATATTCTGAGATCCAGCAGTTTCACTTCTAGGACCTAAAGAAATAATAGAACTAGTGTAAAAGAATGGCACATTTATAATATGAAAACTAGAAAAATATAAATGTTCTTTAATAGGAAATTTACTATATATGATGGTGTATTCCTAGAATGGAATATTAGGCAGTAATTAAAAATGATAGTGAGGGACTTCCCGGGTGATGCAGTGGTTAAGAATCCGCCTGCCGGTGCAGGGGACACGAGTTCGATCCCCGGTCTGGGAAGATCCCACATGCCGCAGAGCAACTAAGCCCGTGCACCACAACTACTGAGCCTGCGCTCTAGAGCCCGCAGGCCACAACTACTGAGCCTGTGTGCCACAACTACCGAAGCCCACGCGCCTAGAGCCCGTGCTCCACAACAAGAGAAGCCACTGCAGTGAGAAGCCCGTGTACCACAACGAAGAGTAGCCCCTGCTCGCAGCAACTAGAGAAAGCCCATGCATGGCAACGAAGACCCAACACAGCCATAAATAAATAGATAGATAAATTTAAAAAAATTTTTTTAATGATAATGATAGATTTGGTTAACATACAAGGTAAACAATATAATCAACTAAAATACATACTGTTTTTCATTCAGAAGTGTACATATTATCTTCTTAATTTTGTAACAGTAAAAAAAAAAAAAATAGGGACTTCCTGGTGGTCCAGTGGTTAAGACTCCTTGCTTCCAATTCAGGGGGCACAGGTTCGATCCCTGTTGGGGGAACTAAGATCCCACATGCTGCGTGGTGCGGCCAAAAAAGAAAAAAAAAAATTGTGTAAATAGAGATGCATTACAGTGTAAGGGAGGAATTAAACCCAAAGTGTTGACAGTGGTTCTCTCTGGGGAGTGGGATTGTAAGTTTATAGGTTAGAAGTCTTGACTTGCAAGTGCCAGAAAATCAGACTCAGATAGATCAAAGGCATCTGGGGACTCTCAGACTGAAAATCCAGAGGGAGAGGATGGATCCGGCTACTCAGAGTCCCCAAAATGTGTTTTCTTGCTGATTCTCAGCTCTCCCTTCTCCAGAGTCCACTTTATCTTCAGTCCACACAAGGGGGCCCCTTGGTCCTGAGGGGTGCCTTCATAGAGCCCCATGTTATAGCATCCTTCTTATTATTACTTAAATAGAGGATGCCATTCAGAGAACAATAGCTCTTGCTTAAGTCCTGGGTTTTGTTTCCAGTGTCCAAATTAGAGCTTGTGCCCAACTCTGAGCCATCACTGTAGTCACAAAAATAGGATGGTCTTCAACCCGTCTGGGCTCACGTCTGGAGCTGGGATTTAGCTCAACCTGCCTTAAATGGCTGAAAGGGTAAATACCCCTGTGGAAAATCATGGTTCCATTAGCAGAAGAGGGGAATGGACCCTGAGGAAGCGACCCACACATGTGCAGGACTGTGGGTAATTACCTGTGCTGTGAATTTTACCCAATAAACTTGTGTACTTGGTAAAAGTTTAATTTTTTAACTCTTTCTCACCCCTAGCTCCATGCCCTTCCCCCACCCCACCCCCAAAAATCTTACTTTTGCCAAACACCCTTTTGACATATAAGGATCCAGGAATTTGGAAGAAAAAGAAGGGAAGGGTAGACTGTATTTGTCAAATACAGGTCCAAGAGAAGAGAAAAGGGAAAACCATGAGTTTGGTTTGAATGTGTAGACTTTGAAGTATCAACAGGGCCCATTTGAGGAGACCCCAGTCTACTGCATGGAGAGAACAGAAAAGAAAAAACCACACTAGGGAGATGGGTTGGTTTGTTAGCTCCCTGAGGGTGAGAGTTGGAGCCATGAAATGGACAACCCCATTTACAGCAAGAAAAAGGCAGAAGAGGAAACGTGTACTTGGCAGGGAGTGGAAGAGGAGTAGACTCAGAAAGTGAACAAAGGTAAAGAGAAGAAGGTGACCCATCTAACAAGAAACAAGACCGAGGAACAAATAAAATTGCTTTTAAACAGTCTTGACTGCATGATGTGAGTCCTTGGCCCAGTCCTTGGCCATTGAGCACTCTTCAGTAAGCATGCCTTTCAGCTGTTCATCTTAATTTGGAGACTTCATTGTCCAACAAAGAGGTCCAGAACTGCAGTGCACAGGAGGTAAAAAATGAGTGTGTAATCAGACCATGGCATCTGTTCTCCTCAGAACACTACTTTTAGTTCAACAAGCATCATTGACCACATGCAGTGAGCCAGGTACTGTTAGGAGCTAAAGATGCAAGAGGGAACAATACAGACTTGGTGCCTGTTTTCTTGGAGGCTACACAATCTAGCACTTTCTGAACACCTTTCCCAGTCCATCTCCTGAAATAACACGCCATAGTTCTAATTCTTCGACCTCATCAAATAATCCATCGATCCATCAACCCACTCCTAGCCTACCCAAGTGTCCATCCTTACAATCCCTCCCTTCTGAACACCCTCGGCTCTTCATTCTCTCCCCCTGGTACTTCCCTGCTCAAGACCCCAGACCTGGATGAGCCCTTCCATCTGCCTCCTGTCTGCACCTGAAGAGCTGAATATTCCTAGAAGAAAATCACACAGCTGAGCTGGTTTAATGACCGTAAACCTCAAAAAGACAGTGTGGCCAGCAACCCTCTATAAATTTATTTATTTATTGTTGGCTGTGTTGGGTCTTCATTGCTGCACGTGGGCTTTCTCTAGTTGCCGTGAGCGGGGTTACTGTTCGATGCGGTGCGCGGGCTTCTCATTGTCGTGGCTTCTCTTGTTGCGGAGCACGGGCTCTAGGTGCACAGGCTTCAGTAGCTGTGGCACGTGGGCTCAGTAGTGCCAGCAACCCTCTAATAGGCTTGCTGTTCTTTTACCCACATCGGCTGTGTCCTACATTCAACCATCCCACACCCCTCTTCTGCCCTTTTCATGATTCACTGAGAAAATTGAAGCCATCCTCCATCAAATCCCTCTTCCCTGTACCAACCAGTCAATCCTACCTCCATCTATATTCATCCATCCTACTACAAGCTGAGTCCCTACACCTGAGCCGTGCAGTCTGTCCCTTCACATTATCTCAGAGATTTTGGTCCTTTGCTGATCCTTCTAAATTGTCAGTCTCACCTATTCTGCATTGTTATCACCATACAAACAAGCCATGGTATTAGCTATCTTTGATTCTGTACATGTAGAATCAATTAC